CATTTTGTTTAAATTTTGAAATTTTAAGTACTTTTAAGAACTTGTTTTGGGGGCACCTGGGTGGCTCAGTTGGTTAAGCAACTGCCTTCGCCTCAGGTTATGATCCTGGAGTCTCAAAATCGAGTCCTGCATCGGGCTTCCTGCTTGACAGGGAGTCTGCTTCTCCCTCTGATCCTCCCCATCTCATGCTCGTGCTCTCTCTCTCAAATAAATAAATCTTTTAAAAAACTTGTTTTTGGAAATAATGGTGTTCCCTATTTTTACATACTGTTTTCCCTACCAGTTTAATTCTTAAAATTTTTAGATAAACACTTTTTTCAGAAACTTGGAAAGTATGAAAAACTATGACGGAAAAAACTTTTCACTATCCAAAAAGAGTCTTTGTTAATGTTTGTATATATACTGTCAGTTTTTTAACTTATGCTTTTAAAAAACCACAATATACAGATAAACTCATATATACCAATTAGGTATCGAATACCTAAAAGAAATTAGAACCCAAACAGGATAAGCCCTTGTGCTACAGGACATAGTTTTTGTTTGTACCTTGTCGCCCATGGTATGAAATAGCTGCTGAATTGAAGTTACTTAAAGGATTAAACTTCAAAAGGGAATTTATTAGTTATTGCCTCACTTATAATGAATCTGTACAGGTTTATGTGCAGTGTCAGATCCTTTTTTTCTTCTCTGCTTGTCTGCTCTCTGTTTTCTCAGGAACTCTAGCCAGGAACCAAGGCCTACACTGTCAAACACAATCCAGAGACCACAGCTAGGTCCCACAGCTAATTTACCCCTGGAGATGGGCTCAGGGCAGTTGGCATCCAGGTGAGAAATGGTAGAAGACTCGTAAATGATCAGTGGTCCAGAGAGTGGGCATCTGCAGTTGCATTTGTTGGTTTATTTATTTGTTGGTTTAAGCCCTTTGCCCACATTAAAAAAAAAAAAATTCTTTCTCTCCTCACTGGCCTTTAATATATAGACAGCAGCAACAGCAAACAGAACTCGATGTGGTATCAGCAAGAGATGGACTGGCTGGCTACAGTCATTCCCAGGTAAGTGGTGTCGTTGTCTTTGAAGAAGACTGTGATCGTTTCCTTAAGAAATGTCCCCCAGTGCCAGTTAGATTGTATGTGCATCTTTATGTGAATGTTAGGGTTATTGAATTGCCATGTTAAATCTTTCATGGTTATTTTTATCATTGTATTCCACACATTTCTGTTCAGCCTGTGACAACCACAGGGCCAGAACACAGCAAGCCCCTCGAGAAGACAGATGGTCTGTTTGCCCAGGATAGAGATCCAAGATTTTCCGAAATCTACTCCAACATCAATACGGGTGTGTTTCTTCCTCATTCTCCTTTTAAATTCTCATTCCAATCACTTACTGATATGCCTGCTGCTGCCTGACATCTTCCCACTTAATCATAATACCTCATGAGTAAATAGGAACTTGCCGAACTAATGTACTACAGCCCCTTGACTGGCCCTCCCCCCACTCCTTTTGGTCCACAGATCAGAGTAAAAGCATCTCCTCCAGCACTGTCCCTGCCACCCAACAGCTATTTTCACAGGGCAACACATTCCCTCCTACCCCCCGGCCGGCAGAGAATTTCAGGTGAGCCCCTTATGTATGTGCTGCTTTATGGGGCAACTGAGGCATTCAGTTGCTAAATCCAAGTTTTATTCTTCCCTAGCTTTCTCTGGTTATTTTAGACAAAGCAGTAGAATTTGTAGGGCTTAAGATGAGGCAAGCTGCTTTTCTTCCTCCTATTTCTTTGCACCTGTCCTGTTGCTATGTTATAGGTTCCATCTCTGTGTGTCCTGATTGGTGTGTGACTGTCAGTTTTTCTCATCTTTTCCAAATTTTGTTATCAACTTTTCCTTAACCCCAGGGAAATAAAGGGGACCTAGTAATAGCAGTAGATTGTCCTGTGATTCCTAGATTTTGTAGTAAACCCATCCTTTTAATCTTTTACTGCACTATTTGTTCACTCCTAGAAGTAGTGGTCTGGCCCCTCCTGTAACCATCATCCAGCCATCAGCTTCTGCAGGGCAGATGTTGGCCCAGATTTCCCGTCACTCCAGTGCCCCGCAGGGAGCAGCCCCAGCTTGGACCCCCAGCACCCGCCCAGGCTTCTCTGCTCAGGTAAAAGCATCTCCTCTGTCTGTCCCCTGTGTACTAGTTTTTCTTTGGTTAGTTAGGCTTTTTTCCATATGTAAAATTATTGTCATCTATCTTAGATAACTTCTCCCCAATCCCCACCCCCTACCTTCCAATTTTTCTTTTTGTTGGAAATAGCTAGATAATTAAAAATATAGATAATCCCTAAATTGCAAAGTCTGTGGTTTTCACATACTCACTTTTATTCAGAATTGTTCACATAGAACATGTTAAACAGATTTGATTTATAGATTTATTTAGGTACTCAGTTCTGAGTTTCCATTTTGTACTAGAAAGTAAAGGAATAAAGGAGAAAATTAATTTTAATTTATACACAGTGATGTCTGTTTATTTTTAAAAAGTGTTTAAGAGCCTCATATAATATATATTATATATGATAAGCTTAAAGCTAATATTTTTTCATATATTAACATATGCTTATATTGCACAGCAATATTTTCAGTAAGAAAGCCCAAACCAAAAAGCAGACTCCAAAATTGTTATATGCAGTATGATCTCAGTTGCATAAGAAATGTATAGGAAAATAAAAACTGGAAAAATTCTCACAACTTTCAGTGTATGAGATAGTTCTTTGCTCTTTTCACTTTGTCATACCTGCCTAAAAGTAGTGTCAAAGGAAATTGGCATTAATTAGAAGAAATACAGAGTAGGAAGTAAGTGATGAGCTTGGCTCAAAAGAATCCAGTCATTGACAGAAAGTTGACTTGTAGGAATGGCATGTGCAATAATGTTAATGTTCCATTTGTTCTCTATCCCTTCCTGTCTTTCAGCAGGTGGCTACTCAGGCTACAGCCAAGACTCGTTCTTCCCAGTTTGGTGTGGGCAACTTTCAGACTCCGTCCTCCTTCAGCTCCATGTCCCTTCCTGGTGCTTCTACTGCATCACCTGGTGCTGCTGCCTACCCTAGTCTCACCAGTCGTGGATCCAACTTCAGTAAGTTTCAGATGTGAAAGGAGGGTAAACTGGAAAATGACACCACTAAAGAGAAAGGATTTGGTAGTTAAAACAGTTTTCTTGGGTCCTGGGTACAGTGACAGTCCATTTGGAATTTAAAATGTACCCACATGAGGAAGACTTTAGCCCTTATGTAGAAGTATATGAGTTATATATTAAATAATGAGCAAATTTAATCTAAATGATCAAAGGACTCTTTTTGGAAAGGCTACTCAGAGAAGAATTAATTTGGGGCTAGGTTTTGAAGTAGACGAGGCATTGATTAACAGAAGAGCGAAAGTATCTGTGTGCTAGTTTGTCCTCGCCAGTGGAGTTAGTGGTTTAAGGTTGGTTGTCCTTTCTGTATTTCTAGCTCCTGAGACTGGACAGACTACAGGACAATTCCAGACACGGACAGCAGAGGGTGTAGGCGTCTGGCCACAGTGGCAGGGGCAGCAGCCTCATCATCGGTCGAGTTCTAATGAACAACATGTCCAACAGCCATCAGCACAGCAACCTGGGCAGCCTGAGGTCTTCCAGGTGAGAGGGTGAAAAGACTTCAAAAAATCAGAAACTGGAGGAGAAAGGGTCAGGGAGCAGAAACAGAGAAAGAAGTTTGCATATGGACTGAGGTATTTGGGAGTATGTGGGAGAAGCCAGAGTGGGGATGTATAGGGATAGATGTCATTAACTGGAACTTACTGGGTGATGCACAGCCTTTAACCAGACCATTGTTAGTGATGTGAAGCACCATGCAAAGAAGTTAAAGAAGTCACTCTGTCCCATTCAAGGAAAGCCACATTCCCACTGCATAGTAGCTTGGGTATAAACATACTGCTTGTACCTATAAAGGCCCATTTGTCTAAGTCCTGAGGGGACTGAAAGAACACAAAGAGTAATCTTAGGACAAAAAAAGAGCTTGTTGAAAGAAGGCAAAACAGGTTTTGGTGGAAAACAAATGGGGTAAGAGATACTCCATATATGTTCATAGGGTCAAGCAGATTTTTCTCCTTTTGAAAATAATGGAAAACTAGAAGAGAGGGAAAATGTGGAACTGTAGGAGGAAGCCAGAGAAGGGACTAGGAACCAATATTGTTATCTAAAGGAGTCGGAGAGTTCCTGGGAGTAGGGAAGGCTCAGGGAGCTCAGCCCCGCAGCTCTGTGGGGTTAGGGGTGATGCTTTAGGGGAATGTTGGGAAGAAGCTTGATAAATGTGAGGGATTAAGGTTGTGACTAGATTTGCTCTGTTTCTTTTACCAGGAGATGCTGTCCATGCTGGGAGACCAGAGCAACAGCTACAACAATGAAGAATTTCCTGACCTAACTATGTTTCCCTCCTTTTCAGAATAGAACTATTGGGGTGAGGATATGGGGTGGGGGAGAAAAATCACTGTTTGTTTTTAAAAAGCAAATCTTTCTGTAAAGAGAATAAAAGTCCCTCTCCCTTCCCTTCCCTCACCCCTAATGTGTATCCCCTGCCCCTTCTGGTCTTTCCTTGCCCTTCTGCCTCTGAGATAACATTTATAGGAGAAATGGGGTGAATCCTGAAGGCTTTGGGGATACTTCGAAAAACTGAGGCTGGGTGAAGTTAAGAATGCCTTTCCTTATGTCTCCTGACCAGAGATTTGTGCAGAAATGATTGTGCTAGGGTCAAGAGGCAGGTTTGAGAACCTGACATCCACTATTTGCCTTGGATACTGTGGCTTGTTTTTGGAAAGAAATTCTGAATAAGGTGGGGGAAAGGAGGAATGTCCTCATATTTGAGGACAATGAAGCATGGTAGGTATATATAGGGCTTCAGGAAGTGAGTGTAGGCTCTTTCTGCTGCCTGGTGAGTGAGGAAGTGAGAGAGGGAGAAAAGGAGAGAGAGAGAGAAGGAGAGAGAGAGTGTGTGTGTGTGTGTGTGTGTGTGCATGTATGTGCACACGTATGTTTCTTTGTTTGTTTCTCCCTATTAGGGAGTTATGCAAAATTTGTCCCAGATTTTATCTTTGTTTTTCTGTTATTCTTCAAAGAGTCCTAAGGAGTTAAATCTCCTAGGTATTATCCACTTAGTATTGCAGCCAAAGAGTATTTAAATAAATGTCTTTGCTGCACTTATATCTATGCCCAGCCAGTATGCAACTGTAAGCAAATATATAAAATCTTCTGTTGATATGATTGGTCTCTCATCGAACATATTTAGTGATAAAGCTGGGTCATTCCCACTTTTGGTGCTCTCACCTTATATGGAAGATCGGCAAACATTACAGGTGTTTAGGGTGGGAAGATAAACTACCCTTTCAAAAAACCCCATACTTGGCCATACTTGCTGCATTTTTCTGTCAGAATCACATATGATGTGTGTTCTGTAGAGGTTATTTCTGCATGGAAACTCAACTTCTTGGATTAGCAGTCTCAGTGAAATCTTCACTGCTGGAGTTCAAACCAAATACCAAGCCTTCTTGCAAAGTAGCCTCTTTCATCCCATTCTCAATTCAGTCTGGCTAGAAACTGAGACTTAAGTCTTTTCTGGACGTATATACGTTCTTCCTTTTTGCTCCCTCCAATCTTAAAGATTGGATTTTGCTTTATCATTAAATCCATGGGATAGATGGGGCCTGGACTCCCATTCTGACAGGGTCACTGAGTTAACTATAGCCATATAGAATGCAGATACCAGTTATTGTTCTCATTCTTTACCTTCCTCAGGTAACAGTCATGTGTATCAGCCTTTTTTTTTTTTTTTTAATTGGCTCAGGCCAGTATCTTAAGTGCAAGACTGAATTAAATAAGGAGAAGACATACTAAACATAGCCATAGGAGACTGAGGAGCACAGATGGCCTTAGAGAGGCTAAGAAAGCATCATTACTGGGTTTTTCTCCCTTTTGTCTCCAGTCTGGTGCCAGGTAGTGGAGTTGAAAAGGAAACAGTTTATTTTTTTATTCTATGTGCACACATACCGTATACATATATATTTATATCACAATTTAAGAAACCAAAAAGTTGAGTTTCCAATGGAATCCTTGTTTTTTAATAATTGACTGTTTTTAAATGTGATCAGGACTATGATATTGTACAGCTATTACAGGGCTTTTGGGGAAGGAGAGGGGAGGGAGAAGATGCTCTGGGGGTTTTGTTTCTGCTTTTCCTTCAGGGTTTTATTTTTTGATTGTTTTGTTTTTTTCTTGTTGGCCATTTCTGTACTGCTGGCATCTGTGCTGAGCTTTACAGTGGCAAAAATAATGACATGTAGCAAAGATTTTAAAACAAAATATTTTTTCCTTTTGTAAACTTTCTTGTGTCGTGTGATCTTGATTGCGGCTTTATTATTCCTTTCCAGCTTATAAACAACAAATACCCACAACTAGTTGAATCCATAACTTGAACTCCAAATATGCAAACATAAAGCACAGTGTGTTTTAATTTCAGGATTCAGAAATCATAGGGCTCTGATCACTCAGCACTCTTTGAGTGTCCTCCTGATCCTGACTCATTCTGAATAAAATCAGCAGGGACATCTGACCATGAGATGGGGGTTGGGGAATTGCCCAAGTCCTCCAGAGCAGACTTGCGATCTGCCTGACACATCCGATTCCTTCCCTCCAGTATGCCTTGCTCTCCTGGATTAAAAGGAATTAGGGATGGGGAAATTTAAACTATTCAGGTCTGGACTTGGTTTCCCTCTAGGACCATATGGTTCATTAGCAAATCTTAAAACTTACAGGCATAAACGTGTTCTTGAGGGTTTGTGTATGCAATCCAGCTAGAAACTGAATCTATACTAAGTATTATCTTTTCTATTCCAAGGACTATCTTTTCCTCTTCCCCCATCTCTGTTTAAGGAAGAAAATGGGAGTTTGGGGATGTGGTTTAGGTACTGAACTAGACTCTTATGATCTGTCACATGCCTGGATGTTGGGGGAATTATTTGGAGAAGCTCACATGACTGGTCTTGGATCAGGGATTTTAATAATTGAAACAGATAATGTTCATCAGGCATCCCACCATCTGAGAATTTTAGCAACAAAGAAGTCACATGTGAGTTTGTCAGCGTTTAATGGCACTGATTCAAGTAAAGTCATTAATAACTAGGAGTGATAGGGGTTTTTTTTGTTACTTTCAGAACCAGTTTCTTCTGGACTTCCTAGGCATATCCTTCCTCAGCAGCATCATATTAGGCTGGGAGAGCTACTGACAACTTTTAGCCAACAAGCTTATAAACTACAAGTCATTTTGGAGCCTTTGGCTTCCTACATATTCTTTTCTAGTCTTTTTTATTTATTCCCTCATCCTTGCTGTGAGGGTCAGACACAAATTTGAAAACTAAGGTTTCAAAGTTGGAGGGATGGGTGATAACAGGAAAAGGACAGGAGAAGATGTAATCCCCAATATAATAAATACTATATAGTAAAGAGGGATGGGGAAACCGGGACTGTGTCTTATTAACCATCAAAGTGAAGGTAAGCCCCAAATTGTGTAATGTGTATTGAAGCCTTTTTTTGTTTGCTCTCAAAGACATTCACGTAAAACTAAATACCTAGCAACTTTCCACCCTGGCGCGCACACACTACACGGACACAGAAACATCGCAAATCCACTGCCTCCTTCCCTCCCCAACCCTGCTCCTCTCAGCATTTCTTTCCCCGCCTCCCTCCTCTATTCAAATTTTCCAGCCCACAGCTGAAACTGACTTCCGCAATCCTGATGGAATAAATCCAGCACCCCTAGTCATCCGCCCACATATCTACACTCCCCAGCGAACGGAGCCCAGAGCAGATTCCTATCAGCAGGTAACATTTTCTACTGCTAGATCTTTTAGTTTCTCTTCCCTCCCTTTCTCCATTTTAGAGGTATTAGGGATGTAATGACTTGGGGATATGGTTGAGATTTGTAGGTTTTGTAGGTGAAAACAATATGCCCATCTTCGGTCATTTCCTGGCCAAATTTGCCTGGAAATCTTTAGGATTCCTGCTACGATTTTTATTTATGTATACATAGTTGTTAGTGAAAGCTAAGGATATAGGGATTCCTTTGCCCATCCCTTACAGAGTAGCCTCTCTTTGTAGGGTTTTCTGTTTTGGCCAAAGTTACCGAAGGGTTAACTTACTAGCAGGGAGGAGGACTGGTGCCCCGAGGTGCTTTTCTACTGTCTCAAAAGCCCTTAACACTCCAGATATTAAATGTCTTGTTGAATGTTTTGCCAGTCTGCAAAGCTTATACAAAAATGGGACTGTAAATTAAAAAATGCAAGCTGTATAACTTACTTCAGACTGTAAATTGTTCTTAAAATGGAAAACACAGAATTAAGCCGCTGTAAGAAATGAGTGAAGCTAGAGTAAACTTCTGAAAAACTGTGCATTTAATGATCATAGAACCTGCTTTTTTATCTTAACATTCTAACAAACTTTAATTCTGAAGCTTTCCATCCTGTGAGGCAATCACAGAGGTTTTTTGTTGTCAGGAAAAGAAAGAAAAACTTTCCTGCCCACAGCATCTGGTTGAGATTAGGGGCAGTTTCCTGCCTGAGGAGCGAGCAGGAAGAGAAAGGAGGAAGAAATGTGTAGGACTAAGGAGACAGTAAACATCTAGAGAATAAGAAATACTGTCAGCTGTTCCCAGTCCTCTCCTGGCAAGATCTGGGAAGTATCAGAATTTGGGGTAGGGAGTAAATGCATTGAAGAAATGGTCAGGAAGCAAAACTTAGCTGGAAATCTCTCCTTTGTGTATTTTCCAATCCCCCTCTAACCTCCAACTTTGTCCCTCTCCTTCAAGTCTGCAGGGGACATTAGAGGAGACAGGTGCTAAGTCCATTCTGATTGTCCATTTTCTACCCCATTTCTGGTTTTCTGTGTGTGTGTGTGTGTGTGTGTGTGGTCTCCCTAGGTCAAAATACTTGGAACCAGATGTATTAGCACCCAGTCCAAACCCAGACCCTTCTATCATTGTTTTATCATATCCAAATCACCCTCAATTCTTTGTATTCCTTCTTTATAAATCCTTGTTTTCCTTTGCATCATGGTCCCAAGGAAGGCATTCTTATCTTTGGGTTCATGAATTCCCCAGAATTATTGTGAGTGTGTACATTTTTCAGATGAGTGGGACTATGATGGATTACAAAATTTTATTAGCTTCTCAAAAGAGTTTGTGACTCCCAAAGGTTAAGAACCACCTGTCTGGGAATATAGCTCCAGCTATTTCCTCATCCCAAACCAGGCTATTAATCCCTTGGCAAACAAAATCTCCCCTAACTATCCCCTTCCTCAGGATGTGGGGGCTCAAGTTTCTTCTGCTGCTGCCCATGGCAAGCTTTGCTCTATATCCTGAGGAGATACTGGACACCCAGTGGGAGCTATGGAAAAAGACCTACGGCAAGCAGTACAACAGCAAGGTGATCGGGGGTTTGGAGGGGAGCATGGTCGGGATCTGGAACTTGAGACCTCCAATCTTAGCTTCCAGACTCCGTTCTTCAGTCTGAATACCTTAACCTCTCCAACCAAGCAAACCTGTTCCTGTTCTCTAACTCAACTTACAGTTTCATTCCTACTCCTTGATTCACCCTCCCTCGAGTTCTGGCCTTTATAACTGTCCCATTTCTCTTTGAGGAAGACTTCTCAGATTAATGCTATTTATCCATAAGCAATTTTTTAAAAGATTTTATTTATTTATTTGATAGGAAGGGAGGGAGGGAGAGAGAGTAGCAGAGGCAGAGGGAGAAGCAGACTCCGCTGAGCAAGAAGCCCAATTACGGGTCTTGATCCCAGGACCCCAGGATCATGACCTGAGCCAAAGGCAGAAGCTTAACTGGTTGAGCCACCCAGGCACTCCTTTAAGCAATTTCCTATACATCTCTCCAAAGCTTTGCATTCTATTTTTTGTATTTGTTTGCATATTTCTTTCTGTATGCTCTTAATAATCCCACGGTGAGTTCCCCAACTAGACTACAAATTCTGCATGATTCTAAGTTTCATCTTTTCTCCTAAAAACCTCTGCAGTATTACTTATGTAACTTTATACACAAGATACTGTCTGTGCAAATACTGACTATTCTCTGTTTAGGTGGATGAAATCTCTCGGCGTTTAATTTGGGAAAAAAACTTGAAGCATATTTCCATCCATAATCTTGAGGCCTCTCTTGGTGTCCATACATATGAACTGACCATGAACCACTTGGGGGACATGGTGAGTTGAACCTCAGCTCCCGGCCTACTTGCCCTGTTTGCCTTAGTTCCCTGCTAATGCCTTGACTTTTTATTCTTTGTCCCAGACCAGTGAAGAGGTGATTCAGAAGATGACTGGACTCAGAGTACCTCCCTCTCATTCCCGCAGTAATGATAGCCTCTATATCCCAGACTGGGAAAGCAGAGCCCCAGACTCCATTGATTATCGAAAGAAAGGATATGTTACTCCTGTCAAGAACCAGGTACCCTCCTTTCTCCTGGCATGACCTCTTTCTGCTTTTTTCTTCTTAAAATAGGAAGGAACTAGGAAGAGAGGGCAAGGAATTAAGGGATCTCTCCCAGTGCCAAGAGAATATAACCTGTTCAAGTCATCACCTATTTTTGTACATCTATGTTGTTCCTATTTTTTTCTTTTTTACAAGTAGTATTGCTGTAAGCACCCTGTGCATATGTTTTCATATACATGTGCAAATATTTATGCAAAATAAACCCTAACATTGGAGCTGCTAGGTCACAGACAGTCATTTCCAAAAAAATTTTTTTATGATCTTAACACTCTCACCAGCAGGAGAATGCTGCTTTTCCCTCAGCCTTAACAATGCTAATTATATTAACCAGATCAACAGCTGATTTAACATTCATCCAACAAACACATCTGTTTCAGAACCTACCAGATATAGTGCTAGGCAGTGGAGACTCAAGATGACTAAGACATAACCCATGTCCTCAAGAAATCCTCAGTCCTAAAAAATAGCACAGGGATGGAAGAAAAATATATAATATAGCCGAAAAATTACTAATAGTAACAGCACTTTTTGAGAGATTGTTGTGTGTCAGAAATTTCTAAATCCTCTACATGAATTGACTTTTTAAATCTCCATAATCCATAATTGAGCAATTACCCACATTTTACAGATAAGGCACAGATAAGTTTAGTGACTTCCCCAAGGTCATATATCTTGTGGGTTGCAAAGCTCTGCTCCACTACAGCTAATGGTAACAATGGTAACAAGAGTTTGCAAATAAAAACAATAGAAAAATGTAACAAATACTAAACAAAGGGAAATAGGAACAGAAAGGAGGACATGTATGGTGGAATTTCATCAGGCAGTTTAGAGGGAAGAACCAAAAAGGTGAACAGCAGTAACTGATCGTTGTTCTGTTATGCCTCTCAGGGTCAGTGTGGTTCCTGTTGGGCTTTTAGCTCTGTGGGTGCCCTGGAGGGCCAACTCAAGAAGAAAACTGGCAAACTCTTAAATCTGAGTCCCCAGAACCTGGTGGACTGTGTTTCTGAAAATGATGGCTGCGGAGGGGGCTACATGACCAATGCCTTCCAGTATGTGCAGAAGAACCGAGGCATTGACTCTGAAGATGCTTACCCATATGTGGGACAGGTGAGACCGTACCACATGGTTATACAGCTCAGTAATGGCTCCTCTTTCCCCCAACATGATATTTTGTACTGGAAACAATTCCAGAAACCTTGTTTTCTGTTCCCCTATCTTGCCTTCTTGACAGGGTAATTTCCCATAGAAGGCCAGGAAGATTGTCACAGCCCAGGAGATTTGGGGGGCTTAGGCCACCATAACCCTATCCATCTCTTTCCCTGGAAAAAACAGAGCACAGGTGACCCCACAGACATCTGAGTATGCTTCCTCCACTCCCATCACATATCCCAAACCTGCCACACTAATTCACTGAGTCACGTGCTTTTATTTTGCATGATCCCAGCAAGGGTTTGGGGAATGTTATGTAAATTATGTAAGTTAACATTCTGACATGTACAAAATGAGAGAAAACATAAGTTGCTTCATACTTATTTTTAACTTTTTAAAGATTTTTTTTAAATTTTTTTAAAAGATTTATTTATTTATTTATTTGACAGAGAGAGATCACAAGTAGTCAGAGAGGCAGGCAGAGAGAGAGAGAGGAGGAAGCAGGCTCCCTGCTGAGCACAGAGCCGGATGCGGGCTCGATCCCAGGACCCTGGGATCATGACCTGAGGTGAAGGCAGAGGCTTAACCCACTGAGCCACCCAGCCACCCCCATAAGTTGCTTCATACTTATTTTTAACTTTAAAGATTTTTTTTAAAATTCATTTGACAGAGATCACAAGTAGGCAGAGAGGCAGGCGGAGAGGAGGAAGCAGGCTCCCTGCTGAGCAGAGAGCCCAATGAAAGGCCCATCCCAGGACTGTGGGATCATGACCCGAGGTGAAGGCAGATGCTTTAACCCACTGAGCCACAGAGGTGCCCCTTGTTTTTAGCTTTAGAGATAAATTCACTTCCTCCTTTAGTAATAGGAAGGAAATCTTTGTTATCTAAAAGGAAGATTTAAGGGCTTTTATATACATGGGATTGATAGATAATAGGATTACATAGGGCTTTTACAACAGGAGCTTTTGAAGCAGAGATAGCAAGTTTGAGTAATAAGAATGATGGCTGTGGAGCACCTGGGTGGCTCAGTTGGCCAAGCATCTGACTTCTGCTCAGGTCATGATCTTGGGGTTCTGGGGTCAAGCCTTTGTCAGGCTCTGTGCTCAGAGGAGAGTCTACTTGTCCTTCTACCACCCCCTCATTCTTTCTTACTCACTCTCTCCCTCTCTCAAGTAAATAGATAAAAATCTTAAAAAAAAAAAAAAGATTGATGGCTCCTATGTACTAAGCCATGTGCTTAGTTCATTTTCTCACTTAATTTTCATAACAGGCATGTAAGGTAGACTTATCCTCACTTTATAGGTGAGGAAAGTGACACTGAAGGAGATAAAATAGCATGTGCAAATTCACCGCTAGTCATGTAACAGCTCCAAGATTTATCTACTGTTCACCTCCTGCAAACATTTCCAGCATGTCTTCTATGTGAATGTGCAAAATTTTCTTTAGTAAAATATAATACCTTGGAACAGAATTGTCTGAGTCTTGGGGTACCTTCATCTTCAGCCTTACTAGATAATAACTAATTGTTTTACCCAAGTGTTTGGAAACATTTATATTCCCACCTGGAGTATATAAGAATTCCCACTGATTCCCATCTTCATTAGTATGTTTATCTGGCCATCTGCATTTCTTCAGTGAATTGACCGTTAATATCTTTTGCACATTTTTAATTAGGTTGTTTTTCTCTTTCTCACTGATTTTTAAGAATTTTAAAAAGATATCTGGATACAAGTACTGTTTGTGTTTTAGGTGAACATTCAACTCAGAAAAGTTCTTAATTTCAGGCTAGTAAAATTCTTTTCTTTTCTTTTCTTTTTTTTTGAAGATTTTATTTATTTATTTGACAGAGATCCCAAGTAGGCAGAGAGGCAAGCAGAGAGAGATAGAGAAGCAGACTCCCCGCTGAGCAGAGATACGGGACTTGATCCCAGGACCCCGGGATCATGACCTGAGCCGAAGGCAGAGGCTTTAACCCACTGAGCCACCCAGACACCCTAAAATTATTTTCCTTTGTAATTAGTGCCGTTAAAAAAAATCCCGGAGCAGTAAGTTCTATTCATTCATGTTTAGTCATATCAAATGATGTCTGTTTTAATAAATGCTCATTAATGTAAATGACTGAACAAATCCATTTCACTGGATACTCAACAACCTATATAGTAATGTTACTTCAACACATTTTTGTAGACATTGGCCACACCAAAACAGACATTAATTTGTAAATTTAATCCCATTTTTTTTAAGACTTTATTTATTTATTTGACAGACAGAGATCACAAGTAGGCAGAGAGGTAGGCAGAGAGAGAGAGGAGGAAGAAGGCTCCCTGCTGAGCAGAGAGCCCGATGCGGGGCTCGATCCCAGGACCCTGAGATCATGACCCGAGCCGAAGGCAGAGGCCCTAACCCACTGAGACACCCAGGCGCCCCAATCCCATTTTTATTCCATGTTGCGGTTTTTTAACTATCAGGTATACAAGGCAGAGAAATTGGAGATTGAACCTAAAAAAAAAATTTCTTTAATCCATATACAGTTTTCAGAACTCCTGGGTCCTGAGTCCATGTTTGAATTCTGGAGCTACTACTTACTGTAAGGCACCACACTAAAGCTGCCCTAACAGATGAGCTTTTAAATTCTGAAAACATCAGGCCAATCAGTGAAATAACCTAAATGTGGCAAAATATTCTTTTTTATTATTATTTTTTTAAAGATTTATTTATTTGAGATTGAGAGAGAAAGAGTGCACACACATGACCACAGAGGGAGAGGGAGATGCAGATTTCCTCCTGAACAGAGAGCCCAATGTAGGGCTCAATCCCAGGACCTTGAAGTCATAACCTGAGGTGAAGACAGACACTTAACCAACTGAGCCACACAGGTGCCCCAAAATATTCTTTTTTAAATTATTAAATATTCTTTTGACAACTTTTTGTTGTCACTTGATATAAAAAATTTAAATCCCAGGGCACCTGTAGCACAGTCAGTTGAGTGTCCAACTCTTGGTTTTGGCTCAGGTCATGATCTCAGGGTTGTGAGATTGAGCCCTACATTGGGCTCCACACTTAGCGTGTAGTCTGCTTGAGACTTTCACTCTCTCTCCCTCTGCCCATCCCACTCATGCTCTCTCTCTCTCAAATAAATAAATCTTTAAAAAAATTAAATTCCAATAGTATATACAGAAAAACCCCACCCCAAACCAGGTCTGTGTTTACAGTTTTTTCCATATTGATTAATCCAGGCAGCCAATTTAAAGGATTATATAACCATGTTAAAGAAAAAGAAATTAAACACCATCAGAACTAATAATTGATTACTCATCCATTGACAGCTTATCTCAATTAAATGGTATTATATTCATCAATCTGTTGAGAGTTTAATAGCTCAGAGAGTTTGAATAATTTAAATGAAATCTACATAATATCTGAAACCTTAATTTGGAAGAGAAGTGACATCTGACTTCTAATTTCTATTCTCTTGCCCCTTCAAATGATCTCTTCGGCATTTGAGAGCAATGTGGAATGATTTTGGTCTCATAATCAATTAAAGTGAAGAATGAGCCATATAAGACACATACTCCATTTTTATTTTTTTTATTTATTATTTTTTAAGATTTTGTTTTTAAGTAATCTCCACACCCAACATGAGACTCGAACTCCCAGCCCCAAGATCAGGAGTCCATGTTCTACTGATTGAGCCAGCCAGGCACACCCATATTCTATTTTTTTAATATTCTGTATCTTGAGTGTATATCTACTTTATAGCATGTGTCTACTTTTTTAAAAGCAGTTGTTATATAAAACTAAAAGAATTTCTCATATGAACACATGAATGAATGGAGGGAGGAAAAGAAAAATAAAACTTGAAAAGAGATCTGATAGAGCAACAGTCAGGTAATACAGTAAGTTAAGTTCATTCTAGCCATAATGCAGCTTATTCTGACTTTAAAGTATCATCACATGACATTCTTCCAAATCCATTCCTGAGATATTTTTATTTGCTTTTAGATTTGTACAATTTTTGGCACTAGGAGGCATCATGATTTGGATCAGATAGCAGAAAACAAAAGAATCCTGAGAAATTAAGATAAGAGACTACTATAATCATGTAATCATATCAAATGCTGCCATTATTGTTAGTAGTTAGATAATATGTTCTTACAGATTCAACTTTAGGGTTTTGAAGGGGTAGTCTGTAGAAAAATAAATTGCCAAAAAAAATATACCTTGACATGGTTTGCCATAAGACTTCGTAACTGTGGCTTGCCAACGAAACATGTTACTGTTAACTGGATCTCCGAAACATAATGTTGGAAATCTACAGGCTAAATTGCTAAGTTCTTTATTAATTTGTTTTAATGTCATGTTACATGCTTTCAAGAACACAAGCCAAAACTCTTTGCCTCATACTAATTCCCTTGGTGTATGTATAGAGGGCCCAGATCTTCCCTCTAGCAGGGCCTTGGCTTTGGCCTCCTCCCCACCAAGCAGCTGGTGACTCCCTCACATCTGAGGCTTACACATACTACATGGCCAGAAGATGATCTGTGCTTTTAAAAGCACCTTGTTGCAGAAATCCCTCTCCCATCCTGAGGGAATAAAAATGTTCTCTCTATTAAGTTTTACAGTGTTTCCTTTCACATTTGGTTAAAACCACCCAGAGCTAATTTTTGTGTATGTGCAAGGTATTCAGTTTTCATATTCTTTTTTTATAGTTGTCTAAAATGGTGAGGAGAGAACAGACCTTCTATAAAAACTCTAGGTGTACTGCCGCTGTCAGTTCACTGACATCACTTAAAGCATTGGTGGAGTTTCTCCGCCACCAGTTCCTGGCCTGCTGCTTTGTCCTAGTCCTGTTTTAACCTCATTTTTTTCCAGGATGAAAGTTGTATGTACAACCCAACAGGCAAGGCAGCTAAGTGCAGAGGGTACAGAGAGATCCCTGAAGGGAATGAGAAGGCCCTGAAGAGGGCAGTGGCCCGAGTGGGACCCATCTCTGTGGCCATTGATGCAAGCCTGACCTCCTTCCAGTTTTACAGCAAAGGTAAGGAGCTGTTCCTAGAGAGCACAATCAACCCTCTCTTATGATGTGGCTTGGCAGCTTCTCGAAGACCACTGAGCATTTGCAGTACTTGGTTTCCACATTTAGACTGAGTCTGGCCTAGGGAAATGGAACTGCTGCTACAGTGCAGCACATCTCTCTGTCACAGGTCCTCCTGAGGGCAGGACTCTACTGGGTGGCCCTTGAACTGCAGAAAGCTTCACCTTGATAGTTTGTTTCCTAGGTGTGTACTACGATGAAAACTGTAATAGCGATAACCTAAACCATGCAGTGTTGGCAGTGGGATATGGCGTCCAGAAAGGAAACAAGCACTGGATCATTAAAAACAGGTAATGATGGGCATACTAAGTTTGTCACGCAGTCACCCTCATAACACTTAACCTCAACTGCAACTTCCCAGTATTTCTCTCACTTCAAGAGAAAGTTGTTTCAGCCTTTTTAGTTCTCCCTTCCCAATTAGAGGCTATTAATTCTAGCATTTAATGGCTGGACAGTAGTACTTAGAGTATGTGTTGGGTGGCTGCTCCACATGCAGGGTGCTTAGTTGTACAGAAATGAACAGAATGTTTGCCTTCAGTGATCTCACAGCCCCCTAAGAAAGACAGACCTAACTAACCAGAACATACAATAGCACCAAGAAACCAGCAGGAGCTTTGGAATTAGGTAGTTTTTTTCTTTCTTTTTTCTATAAAGTGATCAATTTCTTTTTTTTTTTTTTAAGATTTTATTTATTTATTTGACAGAGATCACAAGTAGGCAGAGAGGCAGGCAGAGAGAGAAGAGGAAGCAGGCTCCCCGTGGAGCAGAGATCCCGATGCGGGGCTCGATCCCAGGACCCTGGGATCATGACCTCAGCCGAAGGCAGAGGCTTTAACCCACTGAGCCACCCAGGCGCCCCAAGTGATCAATTTCTTAGAAAGCTTTCCATCATCAGTCTGTTTGAAAGCAGTAGGGAACCAATGTAAAGGTTTAGTATCCTCTTGTGCAACTTTTTGCCTGTCCAAGTATACTTAGGATAAGTATACGTGTGTGTGTGTGTGTGTGTGTGTGTGTGTGTGTGTGTATTTATATGTTTATATATATAAATCTGCCCACAGATTTTGAAGTTTGTGAAGAGAAACATTTTTTGGAAAATAGATATAACAACAACAAAAATTAATGTTTCCTTCCCTATTATTAGGAATAAATAAAACTACCCAATACTTTGGCTCCCCATTTCTCTTTAGCCCCTTGTTACTTTAGAGGGCAGACTTAATGAGAAATCATACTTTTTGCTTCCTCACTGGCCAGTACCAGCCCAGCAACAACAAACTAAACTTTCCGTCCTTGGTGCCTCCAGGGGATAGGAGTCCTAGATGCTGGGGTGTTCAAAGGCCAAAACAGTGCTGTAAGCAAGTGGGGTGCTGCCTAGAGGACTGGCAGGGTAGACAGTCTAGACCACAGTCCCAACTAAAGCTGAACCTGAGTACCTTTCTTAGAAGGTGCTCCTTCTCCCACAGCTTCTGTCCTATGTCCTCTCTTTCTCGACTCCCAGCCCCAAGTACTTATTCTGTCCTTTCCTGGTCAGATGCCAAGGGTAGAGCCTTCATCTAAGATTGCTGGGAGGAAGAAGGGACATATTTAAGCAGGATCAGCATCACTGGAGACCCCTAGAGAAGGGCATTAGGAGTAGGGTACAGGTCTTAAGTAAAATGTGTTGGGCTAGGAGAATTTGCTGGTTGGGGGAAAAAGAAAACTCATGAAAACAATTTGGGAAGATACATAGAGCAGTCTCCTGTCCACACCCCCTTATCTTCCATTCTCTCTACTTCTTTCCTTAGCAATCTAAATCACTCTCACAGTTTCATTCATCTCTCCTATTAGGTTTACCCACTAAGACCAAGATCACCCTTTCTTATGCTCTAGACTCATGTTTTCAAGATCACGCTTCCTTAAACACAAATTGGACCATATTATACTCCCAATCTGAAACTTTGAGTGTCTCCTGCACTAGGATGGGCCACAGATCCAAACTCTTCAGGCCGATCTCAACCTACCTTTCCAGACGTTATCTCCTACTATACCCTGTCAGACACCTTATTTTTCAGCCACATGATCTTAACACGTGTCCCATACTTTCCTGCCTCTAGTATTCATTTAATATTCCTCTGCTGGCATCCCATTTGTGAAGGTCTACCCAGTCTTTGGGCTCACTTCAAATGCTACCTCTTGAATTAAGCCTTTTTTGATCTTTTGATTATAAGCAATCTCTCCTTTGAGGCCTATAGCATTATGCCTTCTCTCCATTCCTTTACTTTAAACTCTTCAAAGGTAAAAACTGTTTTATTCATTTTTTATACCATCAGTACCTAGCACAATAATAAGTGTTTTAATGAATAAATAAACTGAGGGTACTAAGTATTTTCCTTCATTGGTCCTACAGCTGGGGAGAAAACTGGGGAAACAAAGGCTATATCCTCATGGCTCGGAATAAGAACAACGCTTGTGGCATTGCCAACCTGGCCAGCTTCCCCAAGATGTGACTTCAGCCAGCCAACCTCATCCTGCTTTCCCGTTCCTTCCACGATGGTGCGACATCCTGATGTACTTTGGAAGGGAGTTGGTGTGCATTTCTTGAAGCAGATGTAGCAATATAGAGATTGTCCATTCAGTTTCTCTGTTTGTGCTTCAAGGGACACCCCTACTACTCTCCTTCTCTCCATCCAAGGCCTTTATTTTTCACTGTGGCCACAGTAGGAATTTCCCTAGAAAGATTCTCATTCATAGTGTGTAATTAGCTTTAACCACCTAGAAGACTAAGGTGACCTCACCTCTCAGTCTCCAAGTTCACTTCTTCTATATCCTGAAGATAGAAATTTCTGTTTTCCACCCAATTCATAGATCTTTGGTACAAATTTATGTGATACAAGAAATGTGTTTTCTTTTTCCTTCTTTGCATTTTTAAAGTAAGTCAAGTATTTATCTCTTATCTCTAATTTAATAAATACCTATTTAGTAAACATTCATTTTGTGTCAGATACTTTGTTAGGTGCTGGAGACAGAAAGATGGGGAAAAAAACATATATCGAAGGCACCTGGCTGGCTCAGTCAGGGGAGTGTGCAACTCTTGATCTTGGGGTTGTGAGTTTGAGCCCATGTTGGGTGTAAAGGCTATTTAAATAAATAAAACTTTAAAACAAAATGAAACAAAAAATACATTCCTTATATTTGATGTGCTCCCAGTTTGCTTGGAGAGTCTCTCACAAAAACAGTTCATCCTAACTCATTTATTTGTTCACTTTTTCAACCAACATTTATGAAGTGCTTACTATATACTAAGAGCTTTCTAAATTTCAGGGATTCCATGGATATAAGGAGACTTCAGCATTTAGTTCTATCTGTAGGGGAACTAGATTAAGTGACATATAAACCTGGGTCTTGAAAAATATCTTAAGGCCTTTTCTGAGGTTCTAGAACCTCAACATTTGCTGTCATCAAAAGAGGAAACTAAAACTCTTTATAATGGTTTCCAAACAGTATTAACTCTAAGAGAAAGTGGCTAATAATAAATCAGTGCATCCAGCTTTGCCATTTTTCACAAAATGTTTATTGAGCACCTATTATCAGCACTAGAAAGAGTTCACATTTATGCAATACTTATCAGGTGTCAGGTACTATTTTGTTTCATTCTACACAAAAATTATTTATTTTTGTATATAAATATTTATTACCCTGTGGTAAGCAGTGTATTTAAGGGTAGGAAGATGAAACAAATTAGTAAGACATGGCTCTGACCTCAAGAATGTTATAGACTAATAACAGACATATAAACAACTAACACCACCCATAATGAAATAAATACTAATTATGCAAGCTCAGGAATGCATCACTAGTTGTTAACAGGATTTTAGATGAGGCTTCAATGAGAACAGAGCTTTGAAAGATCTGAATGGACAGAAAAGATGGGTGTGGGGATAGGGTGGAGGGAAGGAGGGAATATCAGGCAGAAAGTTTTGGGTGAACAGAGCCACCTAGAGAGCTGCAGGAATGGTGAGGCCTGGTGTGACCCAAGAGTTGGGTGTGAAGGCATCTATAGTAGAACTGAGGTGAGCAAAGTGGATTGGAGTTAAGTCCTGGAAGGCCTTGAATGCCTTCCATGTTTCAAGAACTTCATATCATAAATACATGGGCATGTAGTAGGCAATAAATATTTTTGAGCAGGAGACAGACATGATCAGATCTGTATTTTAGCAACATCCTTCTGGCAGGCAGTGGTGTAAAGAACAAATAACAGATGGAGAACAAAATGGAGATGCAAGAAATTGTAGAGAAAAGTCAACATTTAGGAGACACTGCACATATTCTGCTTCTTCTCAAAGAAAAAATACTGCATGGAAGAATGACTCCTGAACTACTTCGAAGGTTAAGTATGAGTTTGACAGATGGGAAGGTGGGAAAAGGCCCCTTCCAGGCCCAAAGAATAGCATATCTCCAATGTGTAGGCATGAGAGAGAACGTTCAGCAATCTGCAAGAAGTTTTTGTTGAGCTTTGAAAGTGCTAAAGATGAGCCTGAGAGATGTCTGACTCCCCACTGAGCAAATCCACACTGTTGTGTTATTTTGCTCTGGGATTCTTTTTTTCCTTAGGCCTAAAGAACATCCTTCAGAATTTCCCTTTGTACAGATATGTAGACAACAAATTTACTCTGTTCCTGTATGTATTTGAATATATACCTAGATTTTCTATTGTGGTACATTTATACGTATATCTATACTTGACCAGTATCACACATTTATACTGTGTTTTCATATCTAATGGGTTAGTCTTCCCCTATCACCCTCCTCTTCTAGAATTCTTCCTGAATAGTCTTGCTTTTTACTTTTTCCATGTGTTCTATAGAATCAGCTTGTCAATCTCTCAAAAATCCCACTAGTGGGGCACCTGGGTGGCTCAGTGGGTTAAGCCTCTGCCTTTGGCTCAGGTCATGATCCCAGGGTCCTGGGATCAAGCCCCACTTGCATTGGGCTCTGCTCAGCAGGGAGCCTGCTTCCCTTCTTCTCTCTCTGCCTGCCTCTCTGTCTACTTGTGATCTCTGTCAAATAAATGAATGGAATCTTTAAAAAAAAAAAATCCCCCACTAGTATTTTTATTTAGATCACGTTTAATTTATATCTTAATTAGGGAGAACTGACCTCCGTATACTACTGACACTTCCTATGTAAGAATAAGAAATGCCTTTATATTTTTTAAAGTACTCTTTTGTGCCCTTAAAGATATTGCTCATTTCTTGCTAACCTTTTTTGCAACCCAGGATGTTTACCTTTTATTATTTTTTTTGCAGGATTTTTTTTTAACTTTTGCAGTTTAAATGGGGTCTTTTCCAACATAATTTCTAATTAGATGTATGTTTGAAAGCTGTTGATTTCTGTTATTTTAGTTTTTATACTCAGATACCTTACCTTAAATTCTCTTTTTGTTTATACATTTTACAGTTGATGCTCTTGGATTTTTTTGAATGCACAAGTTTTTCACCCACAGAGGTAAATTTTACCCCTTTCTTTCTGATTTTTATTTCTAATTTCTTCCAGCCTGCTTGCATTAGGTAAAACTTACAAAATGATGGTTAGAGTTGATATAGCCTTACCTAGAAAATGTTACTATTTTTTAGATGCATGAAATTCCAATTAATTTAACTGAATTCCAATAAGTCAAAATTTGTATTTCCAGTGTTCAATTACAAAAGAGACTGCAATTAATGATTGATATGTTAACACAAAAAAGTTTTAAAGTGATCATACATTTAAATCTGTCATTATGTAATTTTTTATTCCTTTAATAAAAACAATACTAGCTAACATTTATTGAGCTTTACTATGCAGCTCATACTATGTTAAATGCCTTACACATAGTACCCTTGTTATTGGCATTTTACAGATGTCAAATAACTTGCCCAAGATAAGCTAGCTAGTTCAATGGCTGAGCCAGGACTCATACCCAGGTCTTCTGTTCTTCTGTCTCCTTTTATACATTTCAGTATTATTTTTAACTTTATGTTATAGAACATTTTAAACATACAAAAGAGAGAGAGTAGCAGAGTGAAGCCTCGTGTACCCATTATCCATCTTGAATAATTATCAACATTTTCCAATCTTATGTCATCCATTCCTCTTCCACTTTTTAAATTTTAGTATTTTAAAGCAAACCCCAGATATCATTTCACTCATAGTCCTTATACATCTCTGAGGATTTTTTTAAATAATCACCATGCCATTAGCATGCCAAACAAAAGTAACAATTGTTTCTTACTATCGTTTACTATTCAGCCCATTTAAAAATTTTCCAGTTATTTTAAGATCTTTTTACTGTTAGTTTATTCAGATCAGTATCCAAACAGTTTTACACGTTGCACTTGGTTCTTACTAAGCATATTGTAGTCTTTGACAGTCACATCCCTAATGTACTCCCCCAAACACACATACTTTCTTTTTTTTAATCTTCCTGTAATTGATTTGATGGAAAAAGCAGATCATTTGCCCAGTAGAATGCCTTATACTCTAGATTTGGCTGATAGCTTGTTCTTTCTGAATCTAAGGGGCTAGTGTGCTTAACTACTGCAGTATGCCCTGTTTCTCACTGTCCTTTAGAGATGTCGTGACGAGGAAAGGAAACTTACAAGTGACAGCCCATTAAACTTGTAGAGGCACAGATATTCTAGAAATCCTGGGCAGTTTTATTCTTTTTACAGTACATGTCCTTTTCACTGAATCTTCAGGCTCTTCAGCTCTTGAAAAGTTTTTATGAATCATTGATAGGCTTCATAATACTGATAAGCTGAGTTTGTCCAAGGACTTCAGGAGCCTAGTTTTTCACTTCTGGGTGAAACCTAAGCCTAAAGGCTTGGTTTCCTGAGACTGACTCTATGTATAGATTTGCAGGGTAAAGATGCTATGCCCTTGCAGATGACAAGATTGTACATACAGAAAAATTCTAAGGAATTAATGGGAAAACTATTAGAACTAATAAATGAGCTCAGCAAAATTGCAGGTACAACAAAACCCAGATAAATAGATTTCATCAACATTAAAAAGTGTGCATCAAACTGTCACTTGAGAGAGTGAAAGATAACCCACAGAATGGGAGAAAATTTTTCAAATCAGGTATCTAATAAAGAATTAATGTCCAGAATATATAAAGAATTCCTACAACTCAACAACAACAAAACAGCCCAGTATGAAACTAGGCAAAGGACTTAACTAGACATTTCTCAAAAGAAGATAGATGATCGATAAACACATGAAAATGTGCTCATCACTAGTCATTAGGGAAGTGCAAATCAAAACCATGAGATGTCATTTCACATGAATATTACAAAACAGAATGGCCATTACGAAACACAAAATACTAAGTGTCGCAAGCATGTTGATAAATTGAAACTCTGAAACATTGCCGGTAGGAATGTAAAATGGTGCAATTGCTGTGTAACAGCATGATGGTTTCTCAAACACAGATTTATCATATGATCTAGCAATTCCACTCCAGATATATATCCAAAAGAATTGAAATCAGGGACTCAAACGTATCTGTACACCAATATTCTTCACAGCATTAATCACAGTAGCCAACAAGCAGAAACAATTCAAGTCTCCAGCAACAGATGAACGGATAAAGAAAATGTGGTATATACGTACCACATGGAGTATTATTCAGCCTTCAAGAAGAATTAAATGATAGATACTACATACTACAACATGATAACTGATACATACTATGGCATGGAAGAACACTGAAAACATGATAAGTGAAATAAGCCACACACAAAAGGACTAACTACTCCACTTATATGAGGCATTTAAAATAAGCAAATTTAAAGACAGAAAGTAGAATGGGCTATAGCTATTTGGAGAGGATGGATCGGGGGTAGAATAGTGAGATATTGTTTAATGGGTGCAACATTTCTGTTTGGAATGATGAAAGGGTTCCAAGTAGGGGAGGTTGTGGGTTTATGGAGACAAAGAATGTATTGGG